ACATATTTTTTAAGTTTAATTATAAAGGTCTGAAAACGTTACAGAAATACAAATGAAAAGTGACATTGTTGGAAACAGCTATTCGTGTAAAGCCACAGTTCTGAATTAAAATAAAAATAAATCGACATTCAACCTTTTTTTTTCTTTTCTGGGATCAAGGAATGGTAAGGAATGAGAAAGACAGGCGATTTGCAGGAAGGTTTTGGAGTTTTGGAGGTTTTGGAGTATGTATACATACATACATACATACACACACACACACACACACATATATATATATATATATATAGATAGATAGATATAATCCTAAAATTAACCTTTATTTAAGGCTTTGGACTAAGGAACAATCGGCATTATGAATGATTTGTGTTGTAAATATAAAATGTAACATGTGCTCTATTGTTTTGTTTTGTTTTGTCTTTTTATTTAGTTTTACCATTTGTATTATGTCATCGACCAAACGACGTCGTTTCCTTAATAGGTATGAAAAATATATCCACCACAGTGCTTTCTTGCCTTGAGTTTAACCAGCAATAAACTCGTGATTCACGTGACGCTCATGAACGCATCTGGGGCTGTCTTTACGTAGCGTATTTGTAGTTTAGCAAAAACTCCAAGATGACGGATCCGACGGCGTCTCCAGAACACCACTGGAAAGTATGTTTAGTGTTTTAACTACTCTCCAGACTTTGTGAAATCGAATTGAATGTATGTCACTACTTGCTATGTGTTAGTTGTGAATGTTAAGGTTGCGTTCAGTAGTCGGGCTTTGTTAGCTCTAAAGCTAATGCTAAAGTACCTAGGCTAAGTAAACAACACGCCTGAAGAGTCAGTGTTTCCTTGTTGTTGTTGTTTTTATTATTTCGTAAACGACAACGTACATTTTTTAGGGTTTGCTGTAACGTGTTTTAATATTAAAGTGAAAGTGCTGCTGAAATATGTTACTTTAAAGTCAGCGCTGTTTTGAATAACTTTGTTTTGAAATATTGCAGCGCAATAACTGTTGCGCTGCAATCAGGATTAAAAAAAGGATTATTTTATTTATTATTCGAGATATGCCACCTGTTAATGAGTCCCTCTGCTTATTTATTAAAAATATAATTTTAAATTTTCATTTTTAGGTAAATCAGCACACTGTCGATTAAAAAATGTATATTTATTTAAGAAGCCGTGAAATAATTGTTTATTAATAAGAAGAAGTGTTTTGTATTGCCTGATGACTTATTCTGCCATAGCAATATTTTTTTACAGAAAACTATGTTTGACAATTGACTTTTTTACATTTTTGAATTTTGTTTTCTGACATCGTGATTAGAAAGTGTGCAAAACACATATATATTAAATCAGGTTTCAAATGTTCTTATCATTTTTTTCCTACATAATGTAAGGAATATCTGTAATATATAGAGTTATTTTGAAGAAAACCAAATCAAGTGTTTGATCACATAGATTGGTCTTTTAAATAGATTTAAAAATAATCAAATTTTCTCCTTGATTTCACTTTCCACTCGGTAGCTCTCCTTTAAATCCAAACAGCCATGTCCAGATATGTAAATTATGGTTTAAATGTTTAATTCGGGTCAGTATCATTCATGTAAAGAGTAAACAAGACTTTAATGGCATTTTAAATCGTGTTTTTTTTTTCAGCTCTTGTAAGTTGATTTGACCCTGCCTTTAGCCTGATAAAATTAGAACTGTGTCACTGTGTTCCCTCTGTACGTGTGTCTTTAGTCTAATCTTGGAAATCAGATGCTTTAGAAACTGTGAATTTGAGTCACCATTGTGGTCATGCCCTAGATCAGTCCGGTGATTTAAGCCTTTTTTTACATTTGAGGACAAAACGTGTCAGTGCTCAGTAGGGGTTAGGGGAGTCAAACTGTTGTTTTGTTGTCCGTTAAATTAGGACAGTGCAATTTTTACCTTCTGTGGTTCCTGCCTCTAAATTTCTGCCTTCTTGTTTTTCATTTCTCCTTGTCCTATGATGGCACAACAGGCGGATAGCGCTTTCACCGACAGTGGCTTTGACCATAGTGAGTATGCACTTTGTGTGTTAAATCTATATTAAATGGTTAAAATAATAATTCTATAAGTGATGTCTGTGAATTTCTCGTCATCGATGTGTAATGTCTGTCTTCTAGGCTTTTTTGCAGAAAGTGCCCGCAAGGGAACAGTTGTGTCCCGTGCCAACAGCATTGGCTCCACAAGTGCCTCCTCAGTACCAAACACAGGTAGAGTCACAATAACCTTCTAACTATTTCGCTGTTCAAGAGAGAATTCCAGGACTTTACGTTCAACTTATTATTCTTGAGAGAATGAGAGATTCTAGTGTGTTGTTTGTGGAATGGTTTGAACAAAATGACAGATGCTAACTGTGAATATTTGTCCTCTGCAGTCCTGGGTTTAGTTTGGTTTGTGGTGTGCAATTTGACAAGCTTTTTCTTAAATTATTTACCTCAGCTGTTACCTAATTTTTTTCACTGTACTTGATCAACAAACAAGCAGAACGGGAATTGTAACTAAGTAACAAAGAAATAAAGCAGCTGCAACCAACCATTATTTTAATATTATTATTCTTTATTATTATACATTCTTTTGCTAATTGTGGAAAACAGTAAAAAAAAAAAAAAAAAATTGCATATTCAAATTGCATATTCGAATAATCAGCCACCGAAACCCGAAAGTGCACTTTCGGTCCATTCAAAGACTTTTATCGCCGAAACAAAACAGTCAAAACAGGAAGTTATGATGATGCAAGCAAAAATAGGGTGAAAGTGTCAATGCAGTGTGAACACATTTTAAATATATCTGAACAAAGACCCACGGATAGCGTTTGCAAAACATGTAATGCAGAAATGTTAAAAAAAATTAAGAGGGGGTGTGGTAAATTGTATTGTATGTCAGGTTTGATTAAAAATATATATATATATATTCTTTTATAATAAATACTATAATGTATTAAATATTTAACAGATGATGAAGACAGTGACTACAGACACGAGACCTCATTTAAAGACTCGTATAAAGACCGACGACGACAAGCGCACAGCCAGGCTGAGCAGAAACGTCGAGATGCAATCAAGGTCAGACTACAACAATTTGAACTGTGGTTTTCAGCTGCATGTGAAAGGACAGGACGTGGTTTTCCAGAATTCTGACTTTATTCATTTCTTTTTTTTTTCTTTTTTTTTTTTTAATGTAGAAAGGCTACGAGGACCTCCAGGCAATAGTGCCGACCTGTCAGCAGCAGTCAGAGTTTGCACTGGGAGCACAGAAGATCAGCAAAGCTACTGTGCTGCAGAAAAGTGAGACATTGTGATGTCCCCTTTGAATAAGCGTGTATTTTGTTTATGTAGTTTTATATCAAATATTTTTTTTATATTGCAGATTTTTTTTTTACTTTTTCGTCGTTTATCACAGGTATAAATTTGTGTGTGAGTGGTTCTTTGTCAGTGTTTAGCCCTGTGCGTATCATACATCATATTCAAAACTGGATTTTTTTTTTCTGTGGAGAAAAAGGAAATGCATTATGGGAAGAAGTTTCGAAGCGGAAACATTTCATGTCGTCATTATAAAAACTGCTGACTGATGCCTTTTTAATTTTGTTTTTCTAGCCATCGACTACATCCATTTTCTTCATAAAGAAAAGAAGAAGCAGGAAGAGGAAGTTTCACTTTTAAGGAAAGAAGTGATGGCACTGAAGATTATGAAAACGTACGACAGTTGTTCACATTCCATCAAAGCAGAAGTACTGTGTTTACCTGCTGCAACGTTCCGTTGTTCCTAATATGCCCATCAAAGCAAACTAGTCAATGATTTCTCTGAAATATGAATTTTAATATATTTGATATAATCAGATGTGATTTCTTTTTTATTTTGTGCTTTTCACAGGAATTACGAGCACATAGTGAAGGCCCATCAGAACAACCCACAGCAGGGGGAGGACCAGGTTTCTGACCAGGTCAAGTTTAGCGTCTTTCAGAGCATCATGGATTCTCTGTTCCAGTCTTTTAGCACTTCCGTCTCCATGAACAGTTTCCAGGAACTGTCCGCCTGTGTTTTCAACTGGATCGAGGAGCACTGCAAACCCCAGGTGAGGAGAGTTGCTATCACCAGGATGGGAATAACAGCAATAACATAATCAGTATATTCACAAAAAATATAATTTGTTTTTTTACCATTGATTACAATAATATACTAATCATTTTCTGAAGAAGTCTTCAAAACTGAAAGTTTGTCAAAATTAAAAGAAATACAATTAGTTGCCGTAAAATGCATAGTGCATGATCTTTTTTATGGTTAAAATTCAGAAAGAAATATACATTTTTGGTACGTCAACCGTTGTTCACAGCTGTACTGTGCTAATAATTTCCTGAAAAAGTCTTCACAAATAAATGTTTCTCAAAAATTAATAAAATATCACTAATTTTTCTTAAAATGCATAATTTAATCTTATTTTTCTTGTTAAAATTAAGACAAAATATTCTTAAAAATAAATTTTTTTGTACATCAACCATTGATCACATAGTATTACCATTCTGAAATAGTCTTCAAAAATAAAAGTTTCTCAAAAATTAATTTGCCTTGAAATATGCACCTAGCTCAATTTTTAGAGAATGAAGTCGAGCAGATGTTTGGAGACAAAACAAGAATTTAAAAAGTCTAGTTGTTCGGTCGCTCAGTTGAAATCCGGAGAATTGAGTCTGTTTTATTCCCACTGCTCACCTGAACCTTTTCACTGCTCTTCAGTCATTAGACACAGTGGAGTGTGTAACATTACAAGGCACCTCTGACCTCAGTGACCTTTACTGTGAGTAGTTTTCTAAATGGGAGCGTCAGGCATGTGTTTGGCTTCAATGTCTTCAGTAATTGTTTTTATATGTGGACACACATTGAAGAATGCTAATGGTCATATTATTGATTTGTCCTTCCTGTTGTTCTCTCCCAGACACTGAGGGAGTTTGTGGTTGGAGTTCTGCGGCAGCTCAGCGGGCAGCTCTACTGACCCTGTGACACGTCTGGACTCAGTTCCCAGTCGATGGACTTGCTTCGCTCTGGGCCGACCTCAGGGCAGGATTAGAACCGGCAGTAGCTCTCAGACCTCATCAGAAGCATTTACACTCACACCCTTTGGCCGTGAATGGACTACCTCAACTCACGCTGTGGGCAGCAGGTGGCGCTGTTCTGTGTAATTCTGCTGATACCACAGGGAAACCCAAGAGCACAGGAATCTTAAAATAATCAGTGGGGGAAAAAAATCCACCGACAAATTAGAAAATAAGACATTGTTAGAACGACTTCCTTTGGCAGAAGTCTACTGCTGAAGCCGAGAGCTAATGTCCAACGTCACTCCAGACCTCAGCAGACGATTGGGAAAAAAACTGCCGTCTCCCAGTCTTGTTATTAATGTAAAGTTTTTAATGTAAATGCAGCTGTTGTGGAATCTCGTGGCTGTCAGGTTGTTCTCTCTGTGTTCTATCTTCGTTCAGTGACTCGGATCATATCTGAGCTTCGGCGCTCACCGTGAAGACACTGAACGCAACTGCTGGTTTGGTTCCGAGGACGCTGTGTGTCAGGTATCGATTGTGATGAATCTGTCAGATGGTGATTTCAGCTCTCTTTTCCTAAAATGCCAGTGATTTTTAAAGCCACCATGATGAATGCTGTTTACCTTGTTATTCAGTGGGGGGTTTTTATTTTCATTAAAAATGATTGTGTTAGAAATCATCATGGTCAGAATGTAAACAGGGAAAAAAAATATGTGTATAGTATAAAATCAGACCTATTTATAGTTTACAATTATATAATTATTTTTAAGGCTGTTGTTAAATATATTTATATATATGTATATTATATTCTCGAATTTCATATGGAGGAACAGCAAAAGAGATGATGCAGAAAAGAGGAAACTCAGGCAGAAAATAGTCAGAGTGTCCTTCGTGACGTATCCAGGTTCAACTAAACAGTAGCTTTGTTTTGATTATTATCATTCACCAACGTCGGACTTCTGGTCAAATTTCTCGGCTTCACTTAGCAACCAGGTACTCAATTTTTTTTATATATATGATCTATGTTTCTGTCACTGTAGAAAAACACTTTTGATTACATCTCGTCTCTCTTTAGAGACGTTTAACCTTTGTAATCACAGGAAATCTGCTCACTGACCTTCTTCTGTTTTACACCGTGCTACACCGTGCCTGCAAAGAAAGAAAATACACTAAGGTTAAATTTGAGATTGTGTGGGGTCCACGCGGCACCAGCGGTTAATGTGACCGTATTGATGTCAGGGTGTCGTATTGATGTATTTGTTCAGCTTCATACCAGAGCTGTTGTAAGAAAATAAATTACTTTTTTTTTTCTTTTTTTGCCTTAATCAGAATTTACTACGACTCTCTGTCCATAACTTTCCACTTATATGATTTTACTATGGAATGACGACGTACAGTTCATTTTCTGTCGGTTTAACATAAACTGTATTCAAGCTCAAAACAAGCAAATTGTAGTTATTTATTGAACAGTAGATGGGAGCATTAATATATTACATCATAACTTACCATTGTTGACAGTTTTTGGAGTTTTTAGCACAGGATATTCACTTTGCAACCTTGCATTTTGAGGCATTCCTTTTTATTGCATTTTTTTGGATAGTACGACTATAGTCTTGCTTGCTTTTGGTGGTATTTTGACATGTTCAGATAAAATACATTTGATCGAACCCAGGACTTTCTGCTTCCGAGGCAGGCGTGCTAACTGCTACACTATGGAATGATATGATGATTTTCTGAGTTTTTAACAAACAATGTGTTGTTGCTTCGTTTCTTGGTCATTTTTTTGTAACATTTGCACACATTTGATGCGATCAATATTTGCAGAATAATTCAGTATAAGAATTGCTGGAATTTTCCTTTAGCTGCACTGACAATAGTCTGCAGCGACTGTGTGTATCTACCCATTAACAAACTGGTGGATTGTTGATGCCGCCTGTGATTGGATAACAGCGGGAGGAAGTGGTAGCAATTTCCGGTGATTGCAAAATGGCGCTGTGTGAAGGGACAGAGAAAAAAGGTTTGCTATTATTACGACGGTACGTATTACCACCTCTGAGAAGAGCAAATACAACGCAATGAATTGCCCACAAAGCCATCTTTAAACCGGTAAGTGTTTGACAGAGTGTGATTTAGTTTTATTTTTCCCAGCTTCTCTGTGGACAAGTTTTAAAAATGAGTTTTTAAAATGTGTCATGTGTTTAGATCATGGCCAAAGTTAACCGCTGTACCAGCCGAGTGCAGTGGTCCTTCAGTGTTGAGCCGATTCAACGTCACTATTAACGGTATGAAAAGTAATGGATTTAAGCCTTTCACGGGCTTGCACTTCAATGTTTTTGTTCTTGAGAGTTTTTACATGACATTGTGGACTTCTTTTACACCACAGGAAGTTTGATCCCATGACCAAACAATAGCCTACGAGGAGGAGGTTACAGGAATGCTGCCAACCAAGGGGAAAAAAGTAGGAGAGGTAACCTGTTGATTATTGACTACAGCCAGAACAAGTAGTGTTGTTGCATATACTTCATTTGTCTTTGCAGAAGTAGAGGAGGAAGAATCCTGTGAGCACATGTGGTTGACAGAACTATTGTTGTGAGTATGTGATCTGTCCATCTTTAGTTAGTGTTAAAGTAAAGCTAAGAGTTACTGTTGTAATTTGACGTTTTGATGTTTTTAAGTATCTATGGACTTTGTGATTGACTGCATGTTTTGCTATTAAGAGTAAAAACGTGTTCGGTTCATTGTGGAAGTATTCTGGTTGGGTTTTTTAGGTTTAACTTGGTGTTTAACTTAGTGTTTAACACTTAGTGTTAAACACTTAGTGTTTAACACTGTTAATGTATTCTACCCATTTGTGTGCTTTGTAGTTTCAGTGTTGTACTGCTGCTGGAACTCCTGAGATTCAGAAAGTTCCATCTATCCATGTAAATAAATGCATTTTCCTTTCACCCACCGGTCTCAAAGTCCCACAGTCAACAGCTGTTGTCAGCCGATCCTGTCAAGACATTTTTGATGTCCCCTGAGAAGAGCCAGTTAGGGAACGTAGCATGTATCGTGGCAACAATTCACAAGTGTACACTTGGGTCAACTGTGTCATGATTACACATTAATTGGTACAATGACTGTCAGACAATTAATCACAATATTACAATAATTATGCTTTTATTGGTTTCACAACACTGTGCTGTTCCATGATAACATAACATTTAATGTCATAACATTGTTGCAGTATGTCAGTCTTCTCTTGTTTATTGCGTTTATTGTTTGAGTTCACCTTCACTTATATTTTCTGACACTACTCAGGAAATGTCATGGCCTTCATATCACTAATTATTACTGAGATCAACTGATGACATCCTTGGTGAGGACACGGCAGCAGCTAAATAACATCAAAGGATACAGTCAAAGTCGACGGTGCGTCTTTGACAGCTCCCATGTGTCCGTTGTAGGTACTGAGTACCACACGTTGGCCAGCTCTGTGGGGAGACATTGTTGAAGGTAAACGTTAAAAGGCTTCAATGCAAGCATGGCTTCGCTTCACAAATTATTGGTTTGTTCAACACTAATGGCACCACCAACAACCACAGGAAGAAATCTATGTTGCACTACTTTCCTTATAATCTGAAAATAAATCAGTTCTACCGGCCTTAGTCGTGTTCCCTTTTCATGACTACAGTGTGATTTTCATATCATACACACTATAAAGCATAAAGCTTTATGTTTATTGCATATATATGTGTATAAAACTAGCAGAGTCGTGTTGTCATTTGTTGTTTCACGTGGACATTTCATATTCTTGACGTCAAACTAATTACTATCCTATAGTCATTGGTGGCACTTGTTAACTGCAATCAGTTCGTGTCACTCACTGGATCTTCCTTCTCTGTTGAACTTGACCTGAGTGATGGACCGTCCGTGGCCCTGCAGTAGGATGGGTTTCTGTACAGAAAAGCAATATTGGCAAGTTCATTTCATATTTTCAAAAAGGTGCATCAACCCAACTCAAACTCCTGTGGTTCTTATTTACCACGACAACTCTATGTCCATTAATTAGAACGAAAAACTAACTACGAATCATTCTAACTTCTGACAAAAGCTAACGTTAACTACCGAGACGCATATGCTAGCGTAAATTGAGCGTGCTTTGACCACTGTAACAGAAAAGCACATTGAAAAAACTCTATCTATCTATCTATGTGTATATATATATGAAACATATATATATGAAAAACGATTACATCCAAACTCAAGTCATTCTTGATGAAGAAAAATGTGTTTGCTGTAAATCAGCTCATTCATTTGACCATAGAGCTTGTTTTTGTATATATGTACAGATTTTTGTATATATTCAGACTTTCTGTATATATATTCAGACTGTTTGTATGTATATTCAATGATTTATTTTACGAAAAGCATGCCATAATAAATTTATATATACATAATTAGTCCTGCCCATTTCAAATTGGGTTTCTGTTTCGTCATCTTAAGTTTCGTTTTCCTCGTACACGCGACTTTTCCAGGGATGGTCCAGTCAAGGCGCATGCGTGACTTTTAAGTCTAGAACAATCCATAGCAATTATATATCTTTTATTTATCATTTGTAAATACACAAATAAATATGGCTTTTTTAAGCACACGACTAGCAATTATATATCTTTTATTTATCATTCAGCACACGACGTTATGTTAGAGGCATTTCTATGAAAGTAATCGTGCCTTCTTCGAAAAATTACCTGCTTCCTGCTCACGAGCCTCGGCTGCATCAGTTCACTTTCGTTTTTCCTCTGACAGCTGATCGCAACACAGTTTAAAACCCCACCGGCAGCACTCAGCTGGGCTGAAGCTGAACGCACGGCTGACTGGTGAGTTGAACATTTTCTCCACACATTATAACCTTCATTGTTTTCTCGTATCTCTCCAAACTGATGGACACACTGTCTGTAGACCAGACGACGTAGTTTACAGCGACGTGGACAGAATAGATATTTGGTGGCACAGAACTCAACAAAAAAATGTATCATCCAAATATCGATGTATGTTTAATATTCGCTATTAGCAAGTTGTGTTTATTTCTCCACAAATGGTTTTGTGGTGTGGGGAGGTATTTAAATGAAGTAGGCTACGTCTAACTTTAGAAATATTTAGGCAATATATGACAACAACGTTTGGAGACTAAGAGTCTAAAAAACAAAACAAAAATATAACTATAAGAACGCTTAAAGATGCGCAAAATCTATCTCAGATAAAACTAAATGGCGTGGCTACAGGAAAACTAGCTATGTAGTAGATGAATGTCGGAATGAGAGATAAAGCAAAGTATGTAAATATATTTGTAAAATGTGTAGCAGAAATACTAGAAGTTCGTTAGCTGTGGTAATTAGGTAGATTAATACATGTAAAAGTTTTAAAGAGAAAAGATATATTTTTTCTATAAATTTATTCTATAAAGTAACTTATACAATATACATATATATATACATATATATATATTTATTATCAATAATCAATAGTTCCCTAAATGTTAAGCAAATTAACTACAATAGTACAATAATAGTTTTTAAGAATGAGGCATGAGCCAAGTAGTAAAGTATTATAGTAATAAAATATTATAAAATATAGTCAAACTGGCTAAAAGTCAGCCAAAAAGGATTGAGATAAGTATAAAGTGAAATATGTTAAATCGAAAATGTCAAAAATAGATGGCCGACGTGCTTTCATTTTATACGAATTGTTTGTTGTTATATACATACAACGCCAGAATTCTCTCACCAGAATTCTCTCGCCAGAATTCAGTGACAATGGCTGACCTTGGACTGCGTCCCTATCAGCAAGAAGTGGTTGAACGTGCTCTCCAGGGGGAGAACGTCATAATCTGGTTGCCAACAGGAGCAGGAAAGACTCGAGCTGCTGTATATGTTGCCAAAAGACACCTGGAAAGCAGAGCTCAGGCCAAAGTAGCCATCATCGCGAACAGGGTACACACACATTACAGCGACAGAGTAACAAAGAATGTGATGACATTAGGACCCTGAGCTAAGAGCTGAGATGCATGTTGTTTCTTTCTTGGACGCAGGTCCACCTTGTAGAACAGCATTTCAAAGAGTGTCAGCTTCACCTCGGCCATAACTACACTCTGACTCCTATCAGTGGAGACAGCGTGGAGAAGGACTTCTTTGGAAAAGTGGTGGAGGACTCACACTTGGTCATCTGCACAGCTCAGATCTTATACAATGCGATGATCAGCGCAGAAGACCTCAAACACATCGACCTCTCAGGTCAGTGCAAAAACATTTTCATTTTCATTTCGATGTAGTCACAAAACGAATCACTCGGTTTAAAACCTGGGCCTGTTTAGTTGAACAAAATCATATAGACTTGTAGGAATTGAAGAAAGACACACATGAGACTTTTTTAGTTTATATAGCCATCTGCTGCCAGTTTGTGTAAGAGTATTTGATTGTCCTGCCAGTACCTGCAGTAAATTATTAATAGCTTTCAGACTAGGGATGTTCGATATTAACTTTGTCCGATATCAACTGATACCGATAGTGGGCCAGGGGTGGTCTGGTGGTTAAGGAAGTTATGCTCACTAATGTGATGGGTTATTTTCTGACATGCCCTCCCTAGCGGACAAGTTTTTTCACCCCACCTCCACCTCTACCCCAATTCAAATACTATTGAGCACCTGGTAATATTTATTTATTTATCTGTACAAACCATTGTATGAGTTACTGGCACCAGCATTCTGTATACAACTCCCTGATTATCACTATAGATCAATAAAATGATCTGCAATGCTGCCATCTAGTGGCTTTCACTTTCACATACCAGTGTATAAAATCTTTGAACCACGACACCCCATCAAATAGAAATCTGACAAAAAGTATATTTAATGAAATATAATAATCTTCTAGTTAAAGTGACCTCATAATTGACTAAATTATCTCATCCTGTTTAGTTGAAGACAACGCTGATATACTGGCAGGAATTGAAGAAAGACACTCACAAGGATCTTCTTCAACAGCTCTGATTATATATTTTCTTTGTTAGTTTTCATAGCTATCTGCTGCCACCTAGCAGACGAGTATTTAATTGTTCTGCCTTTCATGTTTTGACCAGCAAAGAAAAATATTATTTGCAATAAATAAATAATAGTTTTCAGCCCAATTAAGTTAAATTATATAATTTTCCACAGCACAGGGGTTGGGAATTACTGTCCCTCCCTGTTTACCCCCCACCCCCCCCCCCCCCCCAAAAAAAAAAAAACTCTTTTAAAGACACATATCATTTGGCGAAACCCAAGCATTGCGTTATCAGGTTTTTTCATTATTGAAAGAAAAACAGCTCATGATTATAGCCTTAAAATTTTCCATTTTCCATCTGGTGGTTCCTTGCAGACATTTCTCTGCTGATAATTGATGAGTGCCACCACACCAACAAGGAATCGGTCTACAACCAGATTATGAGATGCTATGTGGAAAAGAAGTTGGAAGGAAAACGTCCACTGCCGCAGATCCTGGGTCTCACTGCATCCCCAGGAGCAGGAGGAGCAAAGAGCCTGGAAAACGCTGTGAACCACGTCCTGCAGGTCTTTTTTTTTTTTTTTTTTGGTTTCATTTCTAGTTTTAGTCTTTTCAACATACAGTTGCTAAAGTTTTTTTTATCATTTCATCATTTCCTTTTGGCGTCCTTTGTACTGAAACATTTCCTTACACCATTTTACAGTTTTTACTATTTGTTTTTTTTAGTTTCTTCCTTCAGATCTTAAGTGTTATTTGATAGTCAGAATAGTCAGAGTGTACAATCATGCATTCTTCTCTCTTCATCATTACCTTTTCTGTTACATTCCTTTGTCTACTAGATTTGTGCCAATCTGGACTCGGCCATAGTTTCAAGCAAAACCTTTGCCCTTGACCTCAAGAAGACAGTGCCCAGACCCACGAAGACATTTGACATAGTTGAGAAAAGGCCTGAGGTAAACCAGTCTTTTTTCAGCTGTGTTGTAAAGCTGTCATAAAAGCACTCACACACAGAGTGACTGTATTTGTTTTTGTTTTTTATTAAGGATCCATTTGGGGATCTTCTGATTGTGATGATGCAGAAGATCCATGACTACATGATCGCACCTCCAGACCTAGCCCTGAGTGTGTGTGGCACGCAAGAGTATGAGGCAAAAGTGGTGATTTTAGAGCAGACAGGCAAGTCATTTTTTGTATTCACATTTCCTTTTTAGAGCAGACAGGCAAGTCATTTTTGTATTCACATTTCCTTTTTTTTTTCGTTTTTAAAGCGTGGCGCAAAAGGAATTTCAACAACACTTTCTACATTGGCGTGTGGCCGTTGTGGCGTGCTCCCTGAACCAGGCGTAAAAGAGAACAACAGAGTGCTCGCCCAGTGTGCACTTCATCTCAGGAAGTACAACGACGCCCTGCTCATCAACGACACCCTGCAAATGATGGATGCCTATCACTCTCTGGAAGGATTCTACATAGAAAAGGCCCTGTCGGTCATTGATGATACAGATGTCTTCCTGATAAAACTTTTCCGTGGTGAGAAAATCAAAACGTTCATCGGACTGTTAATATGGATATGGATTATTTGTTTATCTGTACAAACCACTGTACTGCATTCTGCATACAGTTCCCTGATTATTAAAATAGATTAATACAACGAGCTGCAATGCTGCCATCTAGTGACTTTCACTTTCACATACAGCCGTTTTTCCCCAAAACTACTTTTACGGAACACATAATTTGGCGAAACCCAGGTATCGTTATCAAAACGATAACAATTCTGTGCTGACGAGACTTTCCTGAAATATATTTAGTCAAAAACTAACACAGATTTTTTTTTTTTAAAAAAAGGTTTCCAATTTGGCTTCTCCAACAGCTTCGAGAAGCTTTATCAGTATATTTCAGTCAAGCATTCAGCTGTGTCTTTATCATATAACCCAAATCCCACTTTCCCGGTTCTGCAGAGAATCGTGTTCCTTTAAAGAAACTTGCTGAGAATTCCCGCTACGAGAACCCAAAGATGGCCAAACTTGAGGACGTTCTCCTCAAACAGTTCGGTTCAGACATGTCGTCCAAGGCGATCCTCTTCAGTAAGACGTGTAAAAGCACACACTGCCTCAAAGACTGGATCCACAACAACACAGCCTTGCAGGAAGCCGGCATCAAGGCATCGGTGATGATCGGCAGCTCTTGCATGACGCAGGTTTGTACAACAGGTCTCATAAAACATACGGAACTCTGTCTCCCCCTGCTGTTGTTGTTCATTATTTCACTTAGTCTTGACTGTTTTTTGCAAACCTGACTTCTAGAAAGAGCGGGATGTTATTATCTCGAATTTCCGCCAAGGAACTATCAACCTGCTGGTCTCCACCAGTGTGACAGAAGAAGGTCTCGACATTCCTGACTGCAACCTGGTAGTGCGCTACGGCCTGCTGACAAATGAGATAGCGCAGCTGCAGGCCAGTGGCCGTGCCCGGGCTCCGAACAGTCAATATTCTGTGGTCGCATTGAAAGGTGGGAAAGAGGTGCGCAGAGAGCACATCAATGAATACCTGGAAGACCTGAGTGCCAAAGCAATCGCTCAAGTCCAAAATATGAGCACCGTGGACTTTCACAAAAAAGTAAGAACGGTTTCTTCTCCATCTGTGCGTTCAATGAGCCTTCTTTCCACCATAACTTTTCATTCTTCCTCTTTCTAGATAGCTAGTCTACAAAGAGAGGCGATGTTGATGAGGAGAACCTTAGAAAACTTAAGAATGACCGAGAAGAGCCGCAACGCCGCCTCAAGCATCCAGCTCCTGTGCCGGAACTGTTTTGAGCCTGTGGCCTTCGGCAGCGACATTAAATTAATTGAAAATTCACTCTATGTTAATGTGAATCCGGACTTCAAGTAAGCTCAACAGTTTTCGATAGGGGTGCACGATAATTATCGGCCGGATATCAGGTTGTATTTTTTTTAAATAAAATTAAAACAAATATATTAAAAACCTATATTTATCTTTTTTATATTTTATTATTATTTATTTTATTTTGTATTATTTATTATTTTAGATTAAATCCTGATGCAAAGTATTTCCGTTCTATAGGCCCTTATTTTCATATCAATAAATAATTCACCTCGTTTGAATTATCAAATAGTTTATCAAATATCAAGTAGTTGCTTTTGTTAGTATTATATTATAGTATTGATGTCATGATCTCATTGCCAGGAATGTTATCGTTATCGGGTATTACAAAAAAGTTATCGTGCATCCCCTGCTTTTTGATGTAAAAGTTCTTGACAAGGCTGGTAATCCGTTCTAATTTTGCCAATCACTTCTGGTCCTTGTTTTCAGGAGACACTACAAAGTTGGAGCTAAGGTGCCGCTGCCAAAGAGTTTCACGGACTGGGAGCCTGGGTGCACCATCAGCTGTGGTAACGGCAACTGCAACAAGGTACGTGTGGTGGCTGGAGCGTCAGCAAAAACCACGGAACACAGCTTTTCTTCGGAGTTGTTGACATAGCCAGCCTATTTCTTAGCATCACCTTTTACTGTGTGTTCCGGGTCAGGTGACTGCTAATACGTTGGGCTTGAGGTTGTGTTTACACGGCTGCGATACGACTACAGATATCGGAGCAATAGCGCCAATTTGCTACAGAGGCTAATTCGGTTACTTGGTCTGCTATAGCTAACCATTCCACTTTGGTAGCTCCATCCTGAGCATCAAAGGTTTATGCTGAACACCTTTCTTCCAGTGTCAGTCAGTCAGAGCGGTGGTGACACAGCGCCACATATGGGCATATGTACTACAGGGACCAGAGTCATATTCAACAGTTTCGTCCAAATACTGAATTTTGAGCGGATGAATACGTTGTCATGCGACGGTATATGCTAATGCTACAAAGTTATTCAACAACAAGTTGCATGAAGTTTGCTTTTGTTACTTCGTAGGACTGGGGATTTGAGATTAAGTACAAGAAGATTGCGCTGCTGCCCAATTTAGCCATAAGCAACTTTGCCCTGGAGACGAGCAACGGCAGGGTTACTAAGAAGAAATGGAAGAATGTTCCTTTCGTTGTTGAAAACTTCAGCTTTGAACAATACTGTCAGGACAACTTCCCAGATATCTTGGACTGAGGAAGCGGTCAAAGAAACGAGAGACAACTCCATCAGGTCCACAGTTTTCCAAAATAATATCTTTGCTTACTCTCCAGGTAACCTTTGAGTCACGTTTAAGGCATTTTATAAACTATCTTCTGTGGTAGAAAATTGACTTGACTTAACATGTTCTTTAACCCCGATGAAATGTGTTTTAGGGATTTTTAACAGGGAAATATTGGACCTACTGTATCTTTAACTACGTCTGGGAGATTTTTTTCTGAGTTGGATTTGAATAATGTTTGATCCACTTTGCTGAACTACAGGCTAACCTACATATTTAATCAAAATGAATCTGAGCAGGTTTTAATTTTTTAACTGGGGGCATATTGTGCTTCTTTTTTTTTTTCTTTTTTTTTTTTAGATTTTTGTGGGTACTAAATGAACAATTTCTGGAATCAGGTTTAACCCAAAGTTTTTGTGTGTGATGTGTTTGGCCCTAATTTTTCACCAGCGCTTGGACTATTTTTAATTGTGTCCTTTGACCAAAGGATAAGGAAAACAAGAAGTTTTGCTTTGAGCGTCCTGTTGATTATTGACACTATATAATATATTGTATGTAAACCCCCCCCCCCACATAATGCTAACTTATATATGCTGCGGGGCCAATGAGTGAACAGTGTACTAAAGAAACTCATTACACGCTGATCATGCTTGAAATTAGTACGACATCTTTATTCATGCCAACGGTTCTGGCTCCCTCCGTACCATCATGTGTGTATTTTCCAAGATCGGCAGTGAGCTGAAAATCAGGTCTGCTGTTACATGAACTTTAACCAGCACCGACACTTTACATATTATTATTTACTATTGTTTTAAAACTACAGTTTTAGCTGTTGTAGACAAGAAGTTTACCTGCTATCATTGGCCAAAACTCTTATCTTGTTGAGATATTTTGTGTCAAATTCTATTTGCAATTAATTTTTTTTTTAAAAATATTGCTTTTAAATTCAAATACATGCTCATCTATCAATTTACTGTAACTGAAATCAACGTGAAGTATGGACCTTTGTTAACCACTAGGTGTCAGTGTTGATCAGGTTTTTAAGCCATCTCTGCAGGGACGGTCTCACAGTTAAAAGCCCTGGGAAATCAGTACTGGTCTGTGACGGGGTAAAAAAAAAAGTTTCCATGCTGTTGAATGCTCTTCGTATCCAAAAATAATGACAAATAAAAAACGTTGTAAAATGTTTATGTAACTGTCTTATGCCTAACCTGTATATATCGCTGGGCTAACTTAGTAACGTATCAGTTAATTTCGTCTTGTTTTGTTCTGATAATGCCAAATTAGCGTCTTTTTTTCTCTAACTAATCTATTTTTATTCTTTCACTATTTTTTTTATTACATTATGGGTAATTAATTCAATCATTACACCTTTTTTTTTGTTCTAAATGTATCTGGAATGACATGAGTCGGATAAGTATAACTTGAGTTAGCTTTAAATGTAGCTATTAACACCCACGTTTGCTTAGCGTTTTTTTTTTTTTTTTTCTATTCTGACCAACCTTGAACTATGTTTTGGTATTATTTGGTCTAATTGTATTAATTTTTTAATATATTTTTTTAATCTTATCTATCTTCATCTTTTATTTTTCAAACACTTGGGTACCTTTCGGCTTTTGCTAAATATTTGGTTAATTAAGTTGAGCAGAGTTTTGAAGAAAGCTCTTCCTTAAATTGACATAAGGAAATCTGTCTAAACTCAGTTGCTCTTATCTACGTCCCTGGAGAAGAAGTCGGCCCTCGGACATTTGTACGTACTGTACCTTTCGTATAACTCTTATTTTCAAGGTTGAACAGAACATTAGGTTTTTGATCATTATTTGCTCTCTGTCGTAAAAAGTTGGACGTGAGGTATTTTCTCTCAGCGGCCAAATGCTTGACCTTTCCGCGTTGCGTTTCCTAAAAGCAAAGTGAAACCTCTGAAACGCTAGGAACTGGATTTGCTGTTTGCCTTTGTAGAAGCATACGTGACTCGGTGTGAACACATGTTAGCTAAGCTTCAGCCATAACGAGGATGATTTTCAAAACACACCCAGATTAGGAGGCTAATGCAGCGGGTGCGGAAATCATTCATTTCAGTCTGGCAGCTGCATCAGACAGATTTATTATTTAAACCGCACAACATTTCTGTGTATATCTGTGGGTAAAATGTGATTAGGTCAGCCCTGCTGTCACACGTGTCATAATCCTTTCAAATCTGGCACAGAGCTGGGGTAAGAGCTGCTGCTGCTGCTGCTGCTGCTGATGCTGCTGATGCCAGTGTGGACGTAATCACACTAAAAACAGACTGTCTTCTGGTGTCATGCCTGACTCAGATTCAAGCAGGCGCGGTGTGTGATTTACTCCGATCAGACTCGGGCTCTATAATCAACGCTGATTGCTTCTTTTCACTTTTCAGCTCAGCACCACATGCATCCTAATTGCAATTAGCTCTCTTCTGAAATTAAAGCTGCTTGGAATGATTGAGTAGCGGTTGATAATGCTGCGCAGCGTGTGTGCGTGTGTGCGTGTTATGTGTTTTGTGTTTGAGCAGAAGTAGACGACACAGTCAGGCAGGAGGCTTGTCAGTTTTACCTAGCGGATGGTTACAAGCTAGCATTACCGTTAATAATGTCACAACCTTTTTTACCGCCTTTTTTCTAATTTGGTGTTTTTATAATCATGGGCTGCGACCCAGAAATGGATCAAGGGGATATATTTTATGGGTCGTTGTACTGTAATTTCACGTTTTGTCAAATTACAGACACAATCTGCATTTTTTTGTTTTTACTATGAGTACATTTTTGTGTTATGTGATTTGTTTTTCAGAAAAAAAACAACAACCCCAAAATGCAATTTTAAGATTACACAACAGCTAGTACACGTTACGCCAGGAAAAGGTCAAATCAAATATATGGCAATACATGTATTGTATTTTAAGCCATATTGCATGAAAGCAATGTGCATACAAAGTGTTCTTTAGCTAATTTATTCTAGTAAAATTATGACTTTTTTCTTGTAAAATTACAACCTAATTCTCATATATTACATATTACATACATATTTATCGCTTTATTGTCAGATTATTTTTTTATCCTCAGTACGGCCCAAATACTCCATAGTACGGAAAGGGAACTTATAGTGAAAACTTTAGTTTTTAATGTATGACACAGCAGTGTGGCTGCTCTACCGTTGGCTCTCAGCTCAGCTCAGTGGCCGTAGCCAGTATTTTCCACATTACCTGTGAATTGGCAGCTTTGTCCGTTAGCGACAAATATTTCACTTTTACGGCCGTAGCCATAGGTGCAGTCGTAACATTAAACAGCTTGTTGGCCGCTGTTAAATTAACACATCCTTCTTCAGAACACAAACACGCAGCAGGTGTTTCGGGCTCCTACTGGTGACAGGTTGTGTTGTCAGCTGTCAGCACAAACTGAAGGGGCTTCTTGTTGAATTAATTCCGGGTGAATCTGCCTCAAGCATTAGGAAGAAATGACGGACTTCCATGGTGCCGTGTTGTTTTGTTCCACTATTTTTGCTTAGGGTGTGGATCAAGGCTCGGAGCGCGGTCCATGGTCTGCTTATTTGATACTGACTTGACTCAAGGAAAAGTTCCAGAAGGAATTAAAATGACAAAACACCCTGAGAAGATTTTTTAATCACAACTGCACATCATAATTGCATTTTCCAATCGCTTAACGAAATGAATGATTTTTTGATATTTTTTTTAGTTAATTTTTTTTAAATTAGTTTTACTCACCTCTTATACAGTGACAAATACCAGTGTAGCTTCACTCATGGAAGCGACTCCTTGGTGTGTAGTTAAATAGTTTCTTTGAATAAAAACTACTGTTTATTTACAGTGCATTTAAACAGGCCGCATTTTTAGGTGTGGCCTTCAAATCCCCCTCCAGTCAGTCAGTTCTCAGGCTGCAGACAGGGGGCCACAGCTGCTGGGTCAAGGTTACACAGTTTTTCACACTAAGCAGCACATACTCGATGTCAGCGCACGAGTCTTCTCCGCCTGTCTTGTCCCCGCACATACTTTCAGACAGGACGCAGACAATGAAAGACACAAATAAATTGTCCACAACAGTAAAGAGCCTGTCACCGGGACAGGCGTTACCTCAGGGACTGGTCTATTTGTCAGCCAGCTGTTCCCACTATGCTGCCTGTCCACCTTGTGGCAGAGGTGATAGGACATCATTGTCTCCATTCTCACAGCAACAGTGGAGGATCAGGTTACCTTTGTAGGACAAGAGCAGAGATGACATTTCCATTGTCCTGTACTGTAGATCCTCTGCAGTCAGCTTCTGGTTCCTTTCTAAGGAATATATATTTGTATAAATATGTGTGTGTGTGGCAGGGCTCTCAAACTAAAATAAACTGAGGGCCACATCAGCGTTTGATTTTCAATACAATAAAATCAGAATATATATTATACTATAATGCAGGAGTGTCTAACATATGGCCCGGGGACCAAAACTGGCCCACTAGGCAGTTCAATCCGGCCCGTTCGATGAATTTTGAAGATTAAAAAATACACTTCCCATGTATGATATTTTTGTAAAATAAAATTTAATATGAATAAATAATAATAAATATAATAAAGTGAAAAACATGGACTTATTGTTAATTATAATTATTTATGTTATGATTGTATTGGTCCGGCCCACCTGACATCTAATTAAGGTTGTACTTTACAGTATAAACAGCTAGTACAATTTTCTTTCTCATTCTTAAATGACCAACTCAAGCATTTTAATAATTAAAATATATATATATATATATAAATATAAAAACATCAAGAGGCAAATTATTAATTGAAATGATAGTTGTGCCTGTGTCTGTCGTGTGTTCTGAGAAGGGACGGACTGTATTGTGAATAGAAGACAGAGGAAGAACCAGTTCAGATCTCTGACATCAAAGGTTTTCTATTTAAAAAGCCTTGGTCCTTTGAAATACCAAGTGTGCAACAACAGTAAAGGTTCTGTGGAACAACAAAGGATAAGAACAAATCTTTTAAGCTCATCCTGTAATGTGGACACATGGTTGATGGCGGCCTTGTTAATCAAGCCTTATCATCCATGTACAGCTTACAGCTGTGGAGATGAAGACCAAGTTAGCAAACAAAGGTAGAAAAGCTACGAACGTTTGCCCGCTGTCGTCAAACCCCGAGGCAGAACTGACGCACGCGATGAGTGTCAACTGTGGCATCGACAGCAAGGTCCTTGAAATACACCGAGTGCTGCTGAATCTGCAGACTGACTGTGTGAAAAATGAAGAAAAGCACGAGACACTGAACGGACAGATGACATTGGCAGCTATCAAAGATGTTCAAATGTTCAACCTCAAAGCAGAGAGGCAGGTGGACAAGGCATGTCAGACCCGACGAGGAAAAACCAGGAGACAGGACAAGGTTGGGAAGGAGTTCTCAGATCTAAAATCCATAGCTGCCGATGCAGTGAGAGCAGCCGACGCTTTCAAGGAGAGAAGCGACCGTCTTCAGAACAAAAACCTGGAGCTTCATTTGTTGTTGAGGAGGGAGAGGGGTTGTACCACCAAACTTCAAGCGCAGGTCTCCGAGCTGCAGGGGGCGATGTTGAAACTGCAGAATGACTTGGAAAAATGTCATAAAGACGGCAGGATGTTTAACGGACAGACCAATAAGCATGTTGAATTTCAACATCCAGGAGGCATCACTGAGGTCCAGGAGGATGCGGCCTGTTATGCGAATGCAGATCCAAGCGTCCAGCAGGAGGACACTGAGAAGAAGAGTTCAGATTTAAAGGCTTCTGATCCAGTGGAGTTGGCATTCAAACAGACTATCGACCATCTGCAAAATGAAATTCAGGAGCTGTGTTCATTACTGAGGCAGAGGAGTGACAGCAGTGAGTTTAACCCGCAGCACCTACACAGCAAGAGGAGTTCACGGTGGAGGAAGTTGATCAGCATCTTCAGAAAAATTGAAAAATAAGGACCACGTTTGCCAGGACAGAAAGACCTTGACGTTGAATCCACACCAGATGTTGAAGTCTCGAGAGAATTCCCACCGTACACAATTATGACAACAATAATGACATGTATTTCTGTTTCACATGTGTTTTAACAGCAGTTACAGTATACTGTATGCAATAGTAGTAGTCTAAAGTGGTAGTTGGTAAGAAACTGTGGTTAGCAAACTGCTAACTGGTCGGGATAGTGGAGTCAGGCTAAACCAAAATTTCGCAGTAGGTGCGGCCACAGTATAATCATGTTTTATGGGGAAACTGCAGTATCATAACGGACGAATTCATTTCATTTACTGACAGTTCGTTCTTCCACCAAGAGCCTCGTTTCTTTCATGGGCACAGACAAGGGAAGGGTAGTGGGGGCGGGACTTAATCCAGTCCATTACAGGGCACTACTACCTGGTGTGTTCCTCCATAAGGAATGTTACCACCAGGGATCTGACTGGTCACCTTTCTGCTATAAGGCAAGAGCACTAACCACTAATCCACAGTGTGGCCTCACTGACTAGCAATTCTATGATATAAGATGTAGGCGTCACAGAGAGATGTCTTAGTCATATCATTAGGTATTCAGAGAAGGGCAACATTATTTTTAATTTAAACTGTAAAAGTAAGTATATGTATATATTTATTCAAAAATATATGTTCAAGAACCAAAAAAGGGGAGAGAAAAAAAAAGTTTAGTGTTTCTAACTATAATTGAAAGTAAAAAAAACAAACAAACACCACGACATTTGGAAATGACAGCACTGAGTGTGTGTCCGCATCCTGCTATAGGTGCAGGTTTATTGATGTGAATCCATATCATGAGAACATATCATCATTAACCTCATTAACACCGTAATTACCATCAAAACCACCACCAGTACAAACTGCAGCGGCGACAACAGGGACATAACAAATAGAGCCATCGATCATTGTTAGAAAGCTGCAGGTCATGGGCTGCAGCTTAGCTTAATGGAGGCACTACATTAACTGGCGCTGAGTTTTGACAGATCCAATTAGAATAAGTTCCATACCTCTACCACTGCTGTGCCCTCCAAACAACTCCCACACACGCTGCTGCGAGGCAGCACAGTCAGAGTGATTCCTCTATAGTCTGGGTGTCCGGACGTACACATTTCAGCAAGTCCTGTGCATTTTAAGTGACAAAAAAAATTTTTTTAGATTTGTAACAAGTTCAATAAATATATATTTTTATTTCCCCCAATATCAATCTCTTGAAAGAATTAGCTTAGTAACATCTTTATGTTAGAAACGATAAAAAAGGGGTTTGTTCTTGTTAGCAAAGCATATAGCCTTAAATTAGTTTGGTGTTAATCAAGAAGATCAACAGCCTACAGTTAATAAAAATATCCCTAAAATCAATCAATCTTTATTTAGCTTTGAGGTTAGCTCAAAGCAGGTTACTATTAACCAGAATTATATCAAATAGAATATTCTAATAAATCAACATGAAAAGAGCTAAAGGTGTTACCTTTAGTTTTATTAAATTAGTAACCGTTTTCTTGAATGAAGATGCAAATAAGCCAACATTAGCTTAAGATTACTTCAAACTCAACCCAAAAATAACTTAAAGGCGTTAAAATGAAATAAAGCATACATTTTTATTTAAGTTACTAATAAAATTATTTTAGAAAAATTCCTTAAGCACCGTAACAAAATAAGTAAACAAAGCTTGTTAGGAGTTAGCCCAAAACTAGCTAAATTAGCGTAACATATAGCAAAAGGATTCCCTTCCCTTTTCAGGGATAATTATGTCAAAGTTCAATCAATCAAAGTATTTAGGAATAGTCCCCTGAGGCCCCCAATATTAGTGTTTAGAAATAAATTAAAGGCCACAATGTACTAAGCTAAACCTGGACTTTTATTTACCAACACTTTTCAGTCACACTTCACTGCATCATAGTGAACTGTATAGTAAATCCACCTTAAATAAATGACCATCGACATCAAATAAGTACATTTTTCCCAACAGGTCCGTCTCAGACAACGAGCAATAACCAAATTCTGCCCATATAATTTGTCTAAAAAACACGTGTTTCCATGCTAAACACTTTTCCTGCTGTCAACACACACCCTCTGTCCGCATCCCTCAAAATGTCTATTCCTAGTCCTTGGTGAAACTGCTTTTCTCTCATCTGTCCACAAATGTCTAAATGATAGGTTTGGTGTCTACGGGAGAAAAGGGGAGTCATGCCTCGCAAGACAGAGCCCAGCAAAACATCTGACTCTCGCCAAGCAGCGGAAACAAAGCCGGCTGATTTTGTTCTTTTTAAGTTTATTCTTTTGTCTGCTGCTGTCTTTGTGTTCTCTTCACCCTCCCTGCAGCCACAGTCCTCCCTCCCAATTATTCCACAGAAACAGCCTGCTTGTCAATCTCTCCTTTTTCAAAAGCTAATAGTCCATCTATCCACGCTGCCCATCAGTCAAACCAATTAATTCAATCAAGCTGCTGAAAGTCATTTTCAAGAGCAGCGGGAAGACAGCGGCAGACTGACAGCAGTGGCTCACTATGACCATTGTTAGGGGAGGAATAGTACAGACGTGAATTACTCTGAGTGCAGCCAGTAGTCATTTAATATCCACACTATTCATTTATAATTGCGTGGCCATTATTTCCTCTTTAACATTTACATTCAAACACTGTGTCAGTTTGTGGGTCTCTAAAATGGCTGTGTACTTTGTAGTAACAGACTAGAATACACGTTATTGCACTGTGGCCTGAAGGTCTTTTTTTTTGTAACATGGGCAGCAATATTTAACAGTACCTAATTTACTAAAAAAAAAATAGAAAAACATTTTCCCTGAACCATGAAGACCTTTTACCTTGTAGACTACTTTACAAAAGACTATTTAATTCTTTGAATAAACAAACTCCACATATTGTTAACATTTGCTAGTTGCTAACATGCACTGTTCCACCTTTCTTCCCCTTTTGTGTCCATTTTACGTAGTAAACAAACACTTTCCACTGTCTATTGGCAAAAAAGTAATTAAATTTAACAAAGTTATATGCAGAATAATCAAGCAATGCAAAATATACCTGACCCTCCTATTTATATTAAGTTTTCTTAGATTGGCAATTCAGTTTCTCCAGGTTTATATGACAATTAATCAGAAAACAAATTTGAACTTCACTTTTGTTGTGATAGAAAATAATACAAAAAAATCATGGCCATGTATGGCCACGTATGGCCACGTAATAAGAAGTGCCTGCTGTACAGCAAGAATATCATCAATTCACAGGTTCTATTCCAAGTCTCACTAGTATGTAGTTTATATAATCTTTTATACTGTATATCTACAGTATGTTTTTCTTAAGTTCTATAGTTAAGAACTTTCAAAAGTTTCAAAAAGAAGTGAGCTTTGAAAAAATATCACATGAATGAACACATGGTGCAAACATGTTCATCTAAATTGTGTTAATTCTATTTATTTATATATACATGTTTGTTTGTTTGTTTTTTCAAACAGCCTAATTCTTATTTATTTTTTGTATCTAAAATGATGACAGTGACAAATGACAGAGATTAGAGCAAATGTAGACAGGCACCCTAAAGGGCACCTTTTGGGTCTTCCTGGTGAACTTGTCATTTGACCAGAGGAGCCAGTGTTTGGTCACATTTACTGATGCCTGTGTCTATGTGTTTTCAGGTAAGTAATAGTAATGCCAACCTATAACACTTGTGCATGTAGTGCACAAGTATATTGTAAAAAATATCAAATGTGTGACTCGACTTTGCTAAGGTAATGTGTATGAGGCAGCGTCCACCAAGCTAACGAGGCAAATATTGCTAATTTACCTTGCGTAAGGTAATGTGGGTGTCTACGTGGGAGTAACGTCAGTGTGCAGTTGCAGTTAAGATACTAAAGTTGACCAGATGACTAGTTAAGTCACTTTTAATGAATTCTAAATGTCTGTGTCTTTAGACAGAATATATGTTGAAAACCTCTGTATGTCTTTGAAGCATCTTTTATCTCAGACCTGGGCACAAAGGGCGGCTGTGGTTGCTTCTATACCAGGGATTCCTAAAGTGAGCTGCCACCAGGGGGTGCACGAGATAAAAAATCTAGACAACAGAACAGAAGAGCATTCTTTAAAAACTCAAAATACGTTGTTTTAGCGTATACAGACAAACCACATTATTCCTACTCAAAGCATCTGCCATTAAAATCAGACTGTAATACCCCGTTGAAAAATACTGTGAAAAGATGAATCCTCTGTCTCAAGTGCAGTGAATGGCGATGTGTCGGCCAGTGTTGTTTAGGGGTGAAATGCGTGTGAATGATTATTTCTTTTATTATCTTTTGCTAATGCCAGTTATCTCTTCCTCTGCTGTCCTTCTTCATTGTCTTGCAGAGCTGCAGGAAATTGAAAAAGAAAATTGTGGAGAGTGTCAGTGAAGGGAGGGAGGGAAGAGGTGGAGGACGACAGGTTTTCTGGGACACAGTACACGGAAATGAACTAGCCTTGCATGACCTGCTCTCAACCACAAGGATGCACAGGGAGGAGGAGCAACAGCGGGAAAAAACTGACACCAGGTAGAAAATGTGTAATGTTTGTGTAGTGGCTTTTTTTTAAAAAAGATGTGCAGTCTTTCATAGTTGCATTCAGAGTTATATTTGAATTCATAGAAAAAGACTTAAGTTGTGATTTGAATTGCCAAGAACACACTGCCTCCCATGGAGGCGCAAAGTTTTAATATGACTAGAATTTGATTTGAAGCTTAAAGAAGGGAGAAAGGGTTTTTATTTTCTCTTACTGTCACCTCCCCTCACACTCTAAGTGCTTTTTCCCCCTCTGTCAATGAAAACACACTTACCATTTCTTTTCTATTTCTGATGAATTACAATGACACTGTGAACAGGTTCTTTTCAATTGAAAATATAGTGTTCAGGTCACTGTAATAAGTCAGTGTTTTGCTTTTTGTGTGCATATTTAAGGGACAGTATGAGGGTAAGTCAAAAAAATCCTCTACCACACTGCCCAATTTAAAAACTTTAACAGTTAACTCAACATTTTATTAATATATCTTTGTCAAGCGCTGCTGAGTTACATTTCATTTATGTTTCATTGCACCTTAAATTTATATTTTTGATCTAGTTACATCTGTTTGTTGTCTTTTCCCCATAACTGAAGAACTAGGGATGTCAAACCATTAAAAGGTTTAATGTGATTAATCTCAGGACGTCTGTGGACAGATGACAATTAATCATGATTAGTCATGATCATTCCAGATAAATCAATGTTCCTAAATATGACACAAAGATACAGTATATGTTTTGCTGTACAATGCTGGAATAGTAAGAAGAATACTACTGCTTTGTTTTCATCACTGTTTTTTTTTTTTTTTAATTTTTTCAAATTTTCACTAAGTATTGATTTTTTTTCTTTTGGTACCACTCTTTTGACGTTGCATACTTTAACTGTCCTTGCATTGTCAGATTCAGGGAACGAAACAAAAGGTGAAATAAAAAGCAGTATTTCAAGGCAAAGCACAAAATAATTGACATGAGTAACAGTTGAATCTGTGAGACGAGACAAACTTTTCCATTGTACCTTCCACTTTTGACATCTGTATCATCCAGCTGCTACTCTAACGTTCCAACAAATGTTCTATGTCCATTCGACTGCTCTTTTGTGCCCAACACATTTACAGTGACTTTTTTCCCCACAGCCTGAATCGTTCCATTTGAATTTGTGAAGTCGAGCATCTCCTTTGTGAGTCTGAGTTATTTTAAATGGTGCTGAAGACAGAGGCCGTCGGTAACCGATCGTTACATCAAAATGACAGATAAGAAATGAGTGACTGTACTGCACCAGCGTCCCACCGTGCTCCGCTAATGTAGTGTAGAAGCCTGGAAGTGTAATGTGTAACGCGGCAGGTCAGATGCAGGAAAGTGGGTTTGCTCTGGCGGGAAATGGCTATTTACGTAGCTGGAAATGGAGTAGGCCTTTCTGACATTTTCATAGCCCCGAAGGCAGGAGTAACCTTCAGCGGAAAACAGAACGATTAAAGAAACGGGAAGGGAAGGAATGGAGACAGGGAAGAGGAAAAGCGGGAGGTAGGGCAGGAGGCAGTGGAAGTGATTGCATGGGAGACTTAAAATGATTGGAAGCTAATTTGTAGAAAGTAAGGAGCAGAGGGAGAGAAATGAAGATGGGCAGATGTGAAAGGAAATGATTTGGAGGTCATGGAAAGCTCCGAGAGGTGAATACGAAGTGGAGAGAGTGACAGACGGAGCGTAGAGCAAATCGAAACAATAATTAGCTGCAATGCTGAACATCGTTAACAAATTACGTCTTTAATATTCACAAATAGCGGTTGATGTGGAACATACTTTAGCATTTTTTTTCACCTTTTTCCCTGTCTGCAAGCACAGCGAGCAGAGGTGCAAATTATTCAGCCTTGAAATGTCTGCACTGATGTCACATGTCAAATTACACATCATACGCTGCCGTAATGGCCACGCACACATTACTGACATCACAGTGTGCACCATAAAAAACGTGCTCATGTAATTGACTTTTTGCATTGTGCTAAATTTTCAGGTGTGGCATTTAAAATAATACCAGAAAAAGAGTTAGAATAAGAAAAAAGAATAAAGAATAAGAGATAGAATAGGAATAGCTTTATATTATGTATATTTACTCATTTTTGTATTAGCATAGTTTGAGGAGAAGTCAATATGTACACTCACTGTATATGTTGGAGGTATTCGGTGGTATGTGTCTAGGTTTTATGATGTTGCACATGTATAAATGTACAGTACTCGCACTATTTAAAATACAAAAATCTGCAGTATAGTGTAGAGTACAATGATTAGTTGTTGGCACGTATAGTGGAGATAGAGTATTCGGAAATTTGCTAAACAAGAAACAAACCACAAAATTATATTCCTTTATTTAAATGTACTGTAGTTCCTGAATGTTTTCTGTAGTGCCCCCTTTTGTAGATTAGAGAAGAGTAAAGCTAATATAAAGCTAAATAAGAGATACATGAAATTTACTTGTGAATTTGTTTTTTAATTTTAACATTTTTCATCTTTTTTATATTGACTGAAAATAATTTGTTTAAAATGTAATTGGATAAAATGTTTGGTGAGTTTTCCTGCACGTATAACCCCTCTAACCCCCACTCACCTATATGCAATTATGAACACAAAATACATTTAATGACTTCCACCGCTGTCTGTGGAAAAAAAAAAAGATTAGAAATAAAATTAAAAAAAATGTTGTAGTCACACTCGGTCCTAACAGTCTGTGGGTTTTATTTCACCCCAGGTGACGTTTACATCCACTATGTTCTCCGAGAAAAATGTTTTTTTTTTTTTTTTACTATACAAAATGATTAAAAGATAACTTTGCACCTGCTCATCAGATGGAGAGAACACAGGAAAAACTGAGAGTTAAAATCAATTATCTTCAAATAACCCCGTTGCCAAAGTGGCTCTGATTGTATCTGGAGATGCAGCTAATACACTCTGATTGTGAACAACCTCATTACATACTAATGACCCTGCTGAGGCACGAGGACCGCAGGAGAACATTATTTTCCTTCTGTGGACTGCCATTATTTTGTAGCATAACAATGTGACCATAATGAGGAAGTCAGGGGAAAAGATGAGCGTTTCAAATGACTATCTGTTCATGTTACTTCCTGTAAATCTGTCACCGTGTAGTTAAGAGAAGACGTGAGTTCACCAGCTATAACTGGTTAATTAATTTTAAATAGGCGCAGATGTGCGGATAATTTAATCAACATGTGCTCTATTACCCAGTCTTCATTAACAATATTTTATAACAGATAATTTAATGTTCAGTTCCTCGTTAGGCCTAAAGAGCACTACATATCGTTTTAGCATGATTTGTTGAGTCACTCCCTCCCATGGTGGTCAAACTCAAGCCTGTTTTTTTTTTTTTTTAATAATATACCAAAACAAAATCATGTTTAAGGATTTGTCCCAAATAAATGCTAAGTTTTTGACTATGTTCTTGCATATATGAAAGTTATAGATTTGTGGCACAAGTAGTGAAATAAAAAAAACCCAACAACAATAATAATACTAATAAAAATCAAATCAACATAACAGGACACACCAGGTGCTGTGTTATCAAGTTATGATTAAGAATATATGTACATCAATAATAAATATATATTTACTCCTATAAGCTGAGTATACCTCATATATGCATGATACGTTGAGGTGCTTTGATTATATGCATGTAGCTGTATGGCACTATATGATTCAGTATTTAAATTGTTAGCCTTGCTGACGTGGAGTATCAAAGAGCGAGCTCAGTGGTCGACTTCTCAGTAAAAGGTATACATTAGGAGTGGGTATTTGGACGCATTAATATGTATAGCTTTTCCCTCCCTCCCTGCGGAATAAAAATGTGAAGTGTGTGGAGGCAGTGCTAGAGCTCGGGGTCTTTGTTGCTCTGCTGGAGTGGTGGGTCTCCCTCAGCAATGAGGATGCCATGAAAGTCACCCGCAGCACCGGGAGGTTAATTACCAAGTTATAAATCACGCAAGACGGTTAGGCTTTGTGTGCTGCAAACATATGTTCATGGAACATAGTAGTCGTTGAAGTATCGTTACATTTTCAAAATAAAACATCTTTTAGACTTTCTTCTGTTAGTATCAGAGTCTGAATGAACTATTGTTTTGAAACATTGATAGATTATCTTTAAAAGAAAAATGTAAAGGGATATGACTGGATTCTGTTTGAATGAAGTAAATTAGTAAAAACTGAAGTACATTTTTCACTGTGTCCCAATGCAGACCAGTACCGAATGACCTGCGGACCTGCACCGATCCCCGGACCGGAGGTTGAGGACTCCTGATTTAAAGGACTTGACAGCCACTCTGGCTTCTTTAAAGGCTTCTGTCACAGACAACAGTGCCGTTTCAATGGAGTACCTGGTTTTAGAGCTGGATTGGTTAGAGTCAAGGAGGAGGGGTTTTGAGAAAGAAATTCCGTTACCTTTACCAGTCAGGTATGTGTCGATGTCGATTTCTACCAGTCTTTCCTTGCCATTAGTACTTCAAAGGGCAGCCATTGTAAACAAGCTCTGCGTTAATCACAGCCGACCCTTCTAATTAAAACCGAGGCCAGAAGCTAAATGACTACGACCGTGTGGAGTGCCTGGGTAAACCATAACTCATTATGCAGTGGCTTATGGGATTTTAAGTGGCCTTGCACATCTCTGCGTGGTGCACATTAAATCCATGACTTATGTCCCGGGGAGCTCAGTGTCACGATGGTGTCAAGTACACAACAGTCACGGTGAAAGGACACGCCACACTGAAACCTTACTTTTTCAGGATATTTAACACCAATCTCCATGTCTCTTCAGTCACAGTTGTAGGTTGTTGCTATAGTTTCACATCGAGATCTCAAAGTGCATCATTTGTTGAACTCACAAGCGCCACTCCAGCTGAACATCTAAAGTTAAAAACCTGTCACTGGCTTCTAACGTTTCTTTTTGTTTTGCTTCTTTTCAGACTCGGCTCCTTCCAGTCCATCAAAGTCCCTTTTTAGAGGCGGGTTTTTAAGGAAACCTTGAGGTGGATGAAGCTCGGCACTTATGTTGCTGTGGAGACCATGTGGACTGGTCGTCAGGTCAGATTGAGAGTAATAGCTTTAGAGGCTATGACACATTTTTATACCATTTTCGAAACAGACCTTCAGATATTGTGGTAATTTATTCACCTGAGGGAAAATATAACGTATGTATGGATGAAGATGATGAATATAAAATGAGTTCAAAGCAACAGCAATGCCAATTCTAGTTGAACGATTGTGTCAGCAGTAAATATACTAGAATGAGTTACACAGGGGTGTCAAACATACAGCCCGCGGGCCAAAAGCGGCCCATTATGGGGGTTCAATCTGGCCCACTTAATGAATTTTGACACTTTGTGTTGGTGATGTTTTGTCAAATTATATTTCACTAAATATGAATTTTCTTTGCTTATTTGCAGAGAAAACAAGGGGATCGGGGTGGACTCATTGTTATTTATAGGTAATTATTGGGGATGTCCGATATTAACTTTTTGCCGATATCCGATATGCCGATATTGTTCAAACACCTAATTTCCGATACCGATATAACCAATACCGATATAGATCTGTTAAAATTTATTTTTATATTTGTACAAACCACTGTATGAGTATGAGATTAAGTGCTGCCATCTAGTGACGATCACTTTAATACACAGCCGTTTGTCTGGCGATTCTTACATATCGGGCGGATAATATTGGACATCCCTAGTCATTATGTTATGATTGTACTGGTCCGGTCCACTTGAAACCTAATCTGGGCCGTATGTGGAACAAAAATGAGTTTTTACACTCCGAGTTACATGATCATCATCATCATCATCATCTGCATCATCTTGTTCTAGTGTGTTCTTAGATAAAACATCACAAAGTAGCGCCATAAACATTTACTCTTGCAAAGGAGTGGTTTAATATTCTATGATAAGACAAGGACCAACTAGCATTAGTACTGTCTCCAGGGCAAAACTGCATAAAATACATTCTATAAATCTAGAGTACTATGTTTGTCTACAAATGAATGGTCACAGTGCTGCCTTTTGCTGACCACTGAACAAAGGTCACAGCGCAGCACTGTTATTCACCACTATAAACAGTCCATGCTCAGCACCCAAAGGCCAAGTTGCACCAGCAGAGTTGTCTGGAACCCTGTGAGGCAGGTGCACACTGATTTGATGGGCTGCAAGGTTGGGACAGTGACCAGGCAGATACTTCCAAAGGCTGTGAAGTTGGCTCACTTCCTATCCTTCAGCCAATCCCAGGAAAAATAAAAAAAGGAATCACGCCTCTGGCAGGTTTTATACAGGCTGAGCATCGCTGATCGAATAACCAAATAAAAATCTACATCAGTGGACCAAAGACTAACAGAGCAGAGGTGACAGCCGGTGTTAGCGGGCTGAGACGACAGTGTTGTGTTTCACCCACTACGCTCCCCGTGTTCTTGACCGTGTTATTTTTGTGATCGCTGCTTTGTGAGTGCCAGAGCATTCGTACGTAGAAGGAAGGACGTAAATAGCAGTGCCAAAAACATCCATCACTGTACTGATGACAACTGTAAAGAGATCCCCCCCCCTCCACCCCGCTGTAATAAAGGCTATTGGTTGGATTCTATTAATCACACCAGATCAAAATCAATACAAGAGCCAATAGGAAAATAATCTGAGGGAATATATCACCTATGAAAAGGTTGTCGCAGTGGAATTAAAGTCACATAATCAGCAGACAGCGCATTAAACCAAAATGTTTTTTTGTTTGTTTTTTTTTTTACTACAAATGACGTCCCTTTGTTCATTGATTTCAAGTGTATTCACCGGACAGAATCAACAGGACATACAGCAGATTAGACACTGCTGTCTGTCAAATAAGAGTTGATTAATGTTCATTCTCAAGGCAGATCAGAATTTTCAACATGCATGGAAATGTTGTGTGAAGATCTATCGTATGAGACCCATTTGTAAGAGATGGTGATGCGTAATGGCTTTTGTCATCCAACTGTGACAAACAAAAATAGAGGACTCCTCTGTTGACACCTTTCAATGCTTTCTGCACATTTTTATTTCTATATGTTCAGTACATGTGTTCAGGCTCAGCAGGACTTAGTATCCTCCACATGTAACATCGATTTCACTTTGTATCTTTTTTTTTGTGAACTGTCTCTTGGAACTTTGGATAATTTTTTGCCAATTTAATTGTTCAGTATATATTTTTTTACCTTTTGGTCCTGCTGTATAATTTGGTTTTTGCAAATGTATCGTTTTCATAAAACTACTGAATTAAAAAATTAAAAATAACCCCCTGCTGGACACATTTAATACAGCAGTAGCATCACCTGTGTCAAATCCAAAATAAGGCCAAAGCCCAATTTTTAACATTTTTTGCATAAATTTCCTTCCCCTTTGCTCTTTGCGTTTTATTTAATATTTAATATCTAAATTAATAACCACCCATTCATAGTTAACGGGCAAATATAACCACACATGCATTTTGCTACTTGAGTGAAAACATGTCGCATATACATATCTAATGATTGAAATTACTTTTGTTTGATTGTTTTTTTCTAACTCCAGCATACTTTTTCTTTGAACATAAAACCTACTTTTTTGTAATTCTACATTCCTTAAGGTTGCCGCATGACGGATGCAGCACGTGCTCTCTGTTTTTGTGTCCTGTCAGCTGTTCTTTATCGTTCTATAGTTGTCAACGTGCGTTGTGCTTTTATTGTGAAAAGGTATTTCCGGCCCGGGAAATGACTACATCTCTCTTGACCAAACCGCTGCACTGGACCTGGACGGAGCTGCTTTTTCCCCCCCTTTGGCAGCGGTTTGCAGTCAGTGTGTTTTCTACCTGTCCGCTTCCACTGCTGCTAAGAAAGGACGCGAATTGAGTCAAAAACACAGGAAACCGGTAAGAAAAGCAGCTTCTTCTTTTAAACTGTCGCAAGTGAGGGAGGGTTTGACAGTGGGGACAAAGTTTGGATTCTGGCTGCGCCTAGAGCTGTGTGATGCGATTGGTTTTTGTTTTTGGGTGTTTTTTTTTGTAATATAAATAAATAAATCGTTTTTTTGTTGAATTGTTAGTAGGAAGTTAATCGTCATGCATGTATTTCTTGTTAAATTAACTGGACAATCATTGGTGACGGAATATCTGAAAAAAATGACTCATTAAAATGCATACGGTAGAACCTGCGCAGTAAATAAATGAGGTAAAAACAATGTAATAATGTCAATGCAGAATTCATTTTGACTTTTTGTTTCTTAAGAAGTTATTTATCGTCTGCAGTCACCTGCTAATTGATTTTGGAATCACTTCCTTCTCTCGTGTCCATCTCCTAACCGCATCTTACTTAATAGTGTTTTCCTTTAAAATAGTCGATACGTTCTTCTCTGAGTTGCAGCCCTTTTAATATGACATTTTATATATGAGATAAAAATATTCAAACTCTTATTCCTTTAAAGAAAGCAAAAATCAATCAGGTGGATAGAGTTTCCTTGAATTAGAATATTGTGTTTTTGTTGCGACTTAATACAGCCTCTGTCTACTGTCTCCTGTGTAGTATTTTGTAGGAATTGGTACTATTTAAGACGTCCTAGTGGGTTTTTGCTGACTTTGACAAAAAAAAAATATATGTACTGTGTAAACTTGTTTGTTACGAGCGTCAGAGTTGAAGTATATGGACAACTCCCTGTGTGTATGCGTGTGCGTCACATAAATCCAAATGCTAATTCAACTCCGAAAAGTGCGGAAGTCCTGTCTGTGGCTGTTGCCTAAAACCATACTACAGTTGGATCAAACCACTATGGACGCAAATGAAAGGGCAGCGATGGGGAAAAGCAAAACTTCCCTTTTTAATTTCGTTTTTGGGAATTTTTTGGTTTCTCCGTAGTATTTCCACAGGAAAGTTCTGTGTATAATATGATGACGTCACCTCACCTAAATAGAATGAAATTATTTGAGACTTTTGGTTACAAAACTGAAAGGGGTGGAGGCAGGGTTAGGGTTAGGTTAAGGTTTATGAGACAGCAGTGATACCTGCTATGATGTATGGTTTGGAGACTGTGTCTCTGTTTAACAGGCGAAAGGCAGAGATGGAGAGTTAAGGTGGAGCTGTTTGGAGATGAAAGGATAGTGGGAATATTAGATGGAAGATGTTTGTGATGGAGCGACGAGGGAAGAGGAAAAAAACAAAAAACAAAAGCGCAAGAGCCAATATAAGACTTTATGGATGTACTCTGAGATGGTTGGTGTAACAGTAGAGGATGCTGGGATACGATCCACTGTGGGGACACAGCCGAACAATGCTTCCAGAAGAAAGAACCGTGGTTAGATTTGGTTTCCTCATTGATTTTATTTTATTTTTTTAATGAAAATATCTAGAAACAAAGAATATTTACAATTGAAGGACATTTTAATTCAAACTAGTAGTTAGTTCTCTTTGTATTCTAATATAAACTAGACTTCCGTGTTCCATTTTCAAACCTGTCCTTGTTCGAGCCGTACAGCAGCATTTCGTATCTATTGCTAAATCCTGCTTTGACCTTCACGCTCTTTTCATTCTGGTTCTTTTTTTCCCTGCTCTCCTGTTCTTCTGTAGTGTGTCCCTTCTTGTCTTTACCTTGCTTCGATTTCTTTTTTTTTTTCTCTTTTCACTGTTTTTCTTTCTATGATATCACCTGCTGAGTCAAGGCTACCAGCAGGCTCACACCGGGCAGCACGCACACAGCTGGACCCACCAAGTTCCAGTAATAAATGAATACACATTTTAAAAGTTTGTTGACCTCTCCCGGTTCTGCCAGCTCCATCCACAGTCTGTGCGGCTGCCATAGATCATTTATAAGACACGGACAAATGATGAAGAATTCCACGTGAATTATTATCATTTTCATTTTCAGTGGTTCGAAGGTTTATGACGACATTGTTGTTGTGGACATATTGAAGAAATAGTATTAGTATTGTGGCAGATTTATCGGAGTAGTGAAGAAGTACTGCATGTTTTGTTTTTTTAATGAATCAAACATGACGTTGAATTTTTAAAGTACAGTCCCTGCAGATATCCACGGCACCTGTGAACTCCAGGAGTCTAATGGAATTGAGATTCTTCAGGCTTTCAAATGTGACTCTGTCTTGCAACAGAAACGTTGCTGTGAGCTGTAGTTGGATATTTTCGTAGATCGCTGTTTTACGTGCGCCGAAGCTCTATTAGTATTAACGGCAGCATGTGATGCGTACTGTCTGCCTGCGGTTCTTTACTTCTGCTTGATTTTTTTTTTTTACCAGACAAAAGTACAACTGACTTGTGTTACGGCGTACAATCGGCAAATGTAAACAAAACCGTCTTTATCTTATACTGTAGCGCCACGTGACAACGTATTTGTCCGCTCCATTGCTAACTAGTTACTGTGCGAAATTAGTTTCATTCCGGTACGTCGGAATGATAGAATAAGACTTTTTTAATACAGTTATGGGAGATGGTGATGTCACCAGGACGTCGTAAACCGAGGACCCCCTGTACAGTTTACTGTAGTATTTCTGTTGAACAGTAAATTTAACATTCTTGCTACTGGCAGAAAAAAACAATGATATTCTCTGTTTTCTTCTGGTGTGCTCTCAGCTTAAAGCACCCTCTGCTGGATAATACAGTAACTATAATAGTCATGGGCAAAAAAAAAAGCTAGAAAATTGAATGAACATTTACAGTCCTATGACAACAGTTAATAGTTTTTTAGATTAAAATCTTTTATAAACAGGTCTGCTTTAGCTTGTGGTATGTCTGTCAAAGTAGGTCCATAATGGTGGCAGTGTCTTTGCCTCTCGGAGGGTTTCCTCTGGTTTGGAATAGTGCCCTAGGTGTGGCTGTACTGTAGGTGGTGCTGGAGTTGCCTGGGTGGTTGTCGGAGATCATGACAGCAGGACAGAAGTTGCTCAAGGACTTTGCCCTTTTCCTTATTGAAAAACCCCAAACTCTACCCCCCCACGCTCTGCTGACTGGCATACCTGACTGGAGGTGCTCAGCCCAGGGGACGGAATCAGCACAGACTGCCGCTCACACAACGGGGAGCTGGAGAAGTGACAAGCTGGAATTTCAACTTCCTTTTGCTGTCTTTGACATTCTCCCTAAACCCTGTGTAAAAACAGTGGGTGATCGCTGAGGGAGACAAATTAGAGCAACGGAGAAAATCAAAACGAAGTACAGGCACTTGGAGCCGAGTGGAACCATTTCAGTGACAACTCCATCGCCTGCTCCGAGCTTTATTTGATTATGTTTTGATGAGCTGTTATGGAACCATTTTGCAGATTAGCAGAAAGCACCAGGAGTCTGCCCCCTAACCGCTGCTGCGAGCTGTGCACCCGTTCACACGTATTGGCACTAACACCCACAGTGGACCCAGTGTGAAGGTTGGACAAACACACACTCACACACAGTGGTGCATTTATGCAGGGGAGTTGCTGGTGTGTGACGGTGCTCTGGGTTCCAACACTAGCTCAGTGTGTCCGGGCAGGTAAACGTCCGGCCGCTCGACACAACAACAACAAACACCAATAAACTGACTACTGGTCTCAGACCAGCTGGGACGACGGCAGTTACTTTTTAAACGTACGTTTCTCGCTGGCAATTTTTTTTCCCCACCATGAAAGATGATCACAATCGCATCTGCCATAACGGCAGTCACTTTCTAGAACAAGGGTGTCAAACATACGGCCCGCGGACCAAAACCGGCCCATCTGGGGGCTCAGTACGGCCCGCTTGATAAAGGTTGAAAGTTAGAAAATGCACAAAACACTGCATGTTAGTGATGTGTTGTCAAATATTCCATTATATATATATATATATATATTTCTAATATATTTACATGAAAACAAAAGGGGAAAAACATGGACTTATTGTTATTTATAAGTAATAACGTCATGGTTGTATGTATGCGGCCCATGAACCAAAATGAGCTTGACACCCGGGTTCTAGACCATTGATGGAGCTCTCATGAGTTAATTGCCTTGCTCAAGGGCGTAACAGTTGTCAGTATGTACAGAAGGGAATATTGGAAATATTGACAGCGTGAAGAGATGTGTCTTCTGGATGATTTATGTTTGCTGGTTGCTATAGTCATCTTGTGACTCACTTAAGCAAGAACAATGGCAGTTCTTTTATCTGTGAATATGAACGTGTGCGGACTTTTTGTCACTTTACGTCCATCTTCGTTTTGGGTCACGATTAGGGATGGTGGGGGGGATAGGTGGTCTCATGCAGAGGTCACAAACAGGCGGCTGGCGGTGCGGGTGCGGACCCAGATGTCGTCAGATCTGGACCTAAACTTGTCATTGATATAAAATTGAAGTTTTAAAAATATTTGTCCCATCCTAACAGCCAATCAAATCGGTTCTTAGAGACCCATAGAGACTCGACTGTCGGTGATTAGACACAAGGAGTAGACCACATCTTTCGGAAAGAGAAAAATAGTAGATGTTCATGTTTTAACCCAATTTCAATACTTTCTCAGAATACCACATCCATATTCTTACCCACGTCAGTGGGTCGTACGTTTAACCAGTTGGATGTGGACCAACTGCCGAGATTTTATACATTACGAATATGTCTGCGAGGTAACCGGGATTGTTTATACGGATGAATCACATCTGAGCGACACATTTTCAAACAGCTGAATGAAAACATTTTGCTGTCATTGCTGTCACCTAAATGTGAAACGGCGGCATATAATGAATATGTAACACATGCAGCCATCCGGTAAGACGAGCACCCCACAGATATGAGGACGGGCTGTGTGTCAATCTGTTTTACATTCAGATAGTGGGGCCCGTAGTTCCTGTCTGTACCTGAGTCTCATTGCTCCGTCAAAGCAAACACATTCTGTGCCAGCGTGATTTGTGTCGGGGGGTTAAAAAAAACCCCGAGCGAACACAAGTGTGTATAAGTATCTCAGGAGCGTCCGTTTCTCGAGTATACGCTCTGTAAGTAAAAACAAGCCAGAAGTGGCTGCTGTTATGCAGAAATACTCCACACCTGCGTCATGGAGTGGACGTGTGATTTTCTCAACAGTGGCCTCTTGTTCTGAGTTCCTGTCATCTGAAGAGAGCGACCTTGAAAATACTGTATTATCGTCTCTATCACTTCAATTCTGATCCAGACTTTGATCAGGAAAAACATTTTAAACAAACTCGAGGCATATCTTATATGATTGTGGTGTGTGAGAGACACTTCCTCTGTGATTCTGTGGAATCGGCCACTGTCAGTCTTTCAGCTCTGCTCTCCTCCTCTCGGAGCAGGATCTGTTTTATCTCCCCCACAGCAAACGACTCCTCTCCCGCCTCCCTCTGCAATACATATCAGCGGTCGGAGTCATTACAGCCTGCAGGAGGTGGCACCAAAGCTTCCTCCCTCCCCTCGGAGTCGCCACCCAACCTCTCCCTCCATCTCTTATTGATCAGGCCACAGAGACATCTAATCCATGCTGATCACAGTAACCTCCATTGTTTGGAGCTCTCTGGATCGCTGCGTCTCAGAGAACCATGTAGGCCGGCGAGGAGACGAGGCTGGATATTGATGGGTGTGCCTTTGGTCACCCCAGATAGCCTGATAGCATCTGTGACGCTGATGATGAGCCTGCGATGCCTCCATTGACGTAGTTGACTGACTCAGAGTTGCTCATACCATTCAGTTCCCCTTCTTTTCATTCTGGTCTGCAATCTTCT